AAAACACCAGAAATCTTTTCCACATTCTGCTTTTAAAAGCCCATCCCAGAGTGATTTAAGCTTCCAATATTGAATAGGGAGGAGTTAAAAAAATGATGTTTTATGCTTAGAGTGTGAGCTCAGGAAGGTTTTACCCCTCCAGTGTGAGCTGCAGGAGGGCATCATTTCCCCTGAAGTGCGAGCTCAGGAAGGTTTTGCTGTTTGAGTGTGAGCTGCAGGAAGGTTTTTTTCCCTTGAGTGTGAGTTCAGGAAGGTTTTGCCTCTTGATTGTGAGCTGTAGGAAGATTTTGCCCCTCGAGTGTGAGCTCAGGAGGGCATTGCCACTCGAGTGTCAGATGTAGAAAGGCTTTGCCCCTCCAGTGTGAGCTGCAGGAGGGCACTGCCCCTTGAGTGTGAGCTCAGGAAGGTTTTGCCCCCCCAATGTGAGCACAGAAAGGTTTTGCCCTTTAAGTGTGAGCTCAGAAAGGTTTTGCCCTTTAAGTGTGAGCTCAGGAAGGCTTTGCCTCTCGAGTGTGAGCTCAGGAAGGTTTCGCCTTTTGAGTGTGAGCTGTGGGAAGTTTTTGTGTCTCAAGTGTGAGCTGCAGGAAGGCATTGCCCCTTGAGTGTGAGCTGCAGGAAGGTTTTGCCTCTCCAGTGTGAGCTGCAGGAGGGCATTATTGCCCTTCAGGTGTGAGCTGTAGGAAGCCTTTTTTCCTCGAGTGTGAGCTCAGGAAGGTTTTTCCCCTCGAGTGTGAGCTCAGGAAGCCTTTGCCCCTCTCAGTGCCCATGCTCAGCGTTGTGTTTCCCTTTTGCAGAGCTCAGCGGTCACCCAGCGGATCAGCCCCTGCTCCACACTGACCAGCAGCACGGCCTCACCTCCAGCCAGCAGCCCCTGCTCCACCCTGCCCCCCGTCAGCACCAGCGTCACGGCCAAGGACTGCACCTACGGGGCCGTCACCAGCCCCACATCCACGCTGGAGAGTCGTGACAGCGGCATCATCGGTGAGTGCTGACCCTCCTCCTCCTCATCCTAGTCCTCCTCATCCTTCTCTCCTCATCCTCCTCACCCTCCCTCTCATCCTCCTTATCTTCGTTCTCTCTTTGTCCTCCTTGTCCTCTCCTCGGCCTCCTCATCCTCCCCCTCCTCCTCATCCTCCTCATCCTCCCCCTCCTCCTCATCCTCCTCATCTTCGTCCTTTTTTCATCCTCCTTGTCCTTCTCTCCTCATCCTCCTCATCCTCCCCATCCTCCTTACCTTCACCCTCTCTTCATCCTCCTTGTCCTCTCCTCCTCATCCTCCTCCTCGTCCTCCCCATCATCCTCATCCTCGTCCTGCTCATCCTCCTCTCCTCATCCTTCTCTCCTCGTCCTCCTCTCCTCATCCTCCTCATCTTCATCCTCTCTTTGTCCTCCTCATCCTCTTTATCCTCCTCTCCTCATCCTCCTCTCTTCATCCTCTCTTCATCCTCCTTCTCCCCTCCTCATCCTCATCCTCTCTTTGTCCTCCTCGTCCTCTTCCTCCTCTCCTTGTCCTCTCCTCATCCTCCTCATCCTCCTCCTCATCCTGTTCATCCTCCTCTCCTCATCGTCATCTCCTCATCCTCCTCTTCCTCTCCTTGTCATCCTCCTCCTCTTCTCCTCCTCGTCCTCCTCTCCTCATCCTCATCCCCCTCTTCCTCCTCCTCTCCTCCTCCTCATTCTTCTTCTCCTCCTCCTGCTCCTCCTCGTATCCCTGGATCCAGCACAGGTTGGTTTATGGTCATGGAATCCCAGGATGTTTTGGGTTGGATGTGATCCTAAAGCTCAGCCATCCCACCCAGCCATGGCAGGGACACCTTTCACCAYCCCAGGCTGCTCCAGCCCCAATGTCCAGCCTGGCCTTGGGCACTGCCAGGGATCCAGGGGCAGCCACAGCTTCTCTGGGAATTCCATCCCAGCCCCTCCCCACCCTCACACCAGGAATTCCTTCCCAAAATCCCATCTAACCCTGCCCTGTGGCAGTGTGCCCCATTCCCTGTGTCCTGTCCCTCCATCCCTTGTCCCCAGTCCCTCTCCAGCTCTCCTGGAGTCCCTTTAGGCTCTGCCAGGGGCTCTGAGCTCTCCTTGGATCCTTTCCAGGCTGAACAAGCCCTGATTTCCCATCCCAGCTCCARAGGGGCTCCAGGCACATCAGTGACCTCCTCTGGACTCAGCCCA